CAGTGGAACGAATCTGCACCCCCCCCCAAAAAAAACAAATAAACACACAACTCCTCCGCACCTTCGGCCGACCACTCCACGGCCCCCGTCCTCTTGCGGTGGTTCGTGACCTCGTCAAGAAACGCCTCCAAATTCGGGCACTCCAAAGCGTCCAGCACCTTCTGCTCCTCCTGCTTGGGGACCACCTGGTCTGCCCATCGCACTCCCTGATACGCGTGGAAACAAAAACGTGCGATCGAGCGAGCGCGCGGACGTTGTGGGTCACGTCACGACACCGTTGTTGTTGTTGTTGTTGTTGTTGTTGTTGTTGGTTGTTGCTCGTGTGAATTATTCGCAACGATCTTATTATACCCAGCCCGGTGGGTCTGTTGCTGTTTTTCGCGTTGTGGTGCTGGTGGTTGCGGTTGTCGGTGTTCTTGTCGTTGTTGTTGTCGACATCGCCATTGTCGTCGCTGTTGTTCGCGTCGCGTGAACTGTGAACTGTGAACTCATCGCAAAGGGCCATGTGGCTCTGATGCTGTTGTTGTTGTGTTCGTCGTTGTCGGTGTTCACTCATCATCTCGACTGGCCGGCGGCAACTCTTGCCTGTAGGCTATGCGTTTTGAGTACAAGGATAGTTACAGGCAAGATATTCAGGTTATGGCGGGAGCTCCAACTCCCTGGGATTGTTACCGAAAGGAGATATTGCCATAGCGGCCTCTCCCTTCGATGTTGCCTTGTCAGTCAGCAGCAGCAGCAGCAGCAGCAGCAGCAGCACAACCACCACCACCAAACAAAAAAAGCCTCCAAACCTTTGAGCGCGCCGAGGGGCTGACTGCCGAAGCAGATCGCACGATGCTCTTGCGGCTTTGGTCGAGGCCGGGCGCCGACGCCACTCTCGGCATGTTGGGCTCGTACTCCGCGAACACCTGCAGCAAAAAAATAAGAGAAAGAGAAAAAAAGAGAAAAGGCCGGGAACGAGAAGAGAAAATCGACCAAAAAATCAGGCGATGACGTCACGGATGCGTCAATTTCAATGTGCCACCCCCATATCACCTTGTCACACGATATAAACCGTCCCCGTACCAATTTTCTCTAGAACTGATGTTTCGTGTCTTCTTGTTTCTGCTCAAGTAGATGCGAAAACGGTGGTACAACTTAAGGGTCACGTCTCGCACAATGTTGCAGTCATGAATCATGCGACCAATTATCGATAGTGGGCATAGATAGAAACGAGAGTCCGCCACCCCCAAGAAGAAAGCTGTGGTACATATAAGACATGAACAAATGTCGCACGTAAATCTACCATTGCACGATGCATAAACCTCCCCTCTTGGCAGTAGCTCACAGGGCAGGCGCGAGTCTCACCGGATGGGACAGGTACTGCACCATGCTGATTGGCTCCTGCTTCTCGCGGAAGACCTTAACGTCCCTCAGAGCCGGGGGCAACGAGAAGCACACCAGCGCCGGAATGCTCTTCGTCTGGCGTGGCACACGGCAGGAAATTGGCGGTGGGGAGGGGGTACTCATGTAAACGCATGCCGTTGTCGGATAGACCTTGTACCCGTAAAATGCCGGGACGAGGCTACATGTCGAGTTTTCGGGGGGGGGGGGGCGTACTCCCATATTTTGCATACTTGGCCGTTAAACATTGGCCAAGCGTCCTCCAAAA